TTTAAGTGAAAAGATAAAAATATACTTAAAAAATTATTAAAATTAAACTATTTAAATATATAATAATATTATTACAAATAAATTAGAATATATAAAATAAAAATAAAGACTAAATAATTTAAAAAGAATAAAATATTATAAATATTATTTAAATAAATTATTAAAAATATAAAATATAAAAAACTGTACTGTTATCCTCTCAAATAAGATAGGTGCCATACAATTTCTATTGACTTTTAGTTTTAAGATGAGGGGTGGATTTATTGCAACCGCTGCTTGCAATTTTTGTGACATTTAAGATGATAAAGCAAGTACTTCGTTCCTAGTTGTATTAGCACGTAAGTATTTATTAATTTATATAAAAATATAAGTATCCTACATTTAAGAAGAAAAACGACTGTAAAAAATTTAAACAAACAATTCCACAGAAAAAAAAGTCTAATTAAGTGCATGATATAATAAGTCTCGTGTTTTAAAAAAATTAAATAAATGTCATGTTGACTTTTTAATATAACATTAATTACTTTTTTTTTTCATTTATGCATATCGTATTATTCTTTAAAAAGTGTGATTGTGTTTCATTGTTTTCGGTAAAAAAAATTAATTATAAAGTTAATTTAATAAAATTATTATTCTTTTTTATTTGTTTATTAATTTTTTTTGTCTATATTTATTTATTTAATGACATATCAAAGTGAGGTGATTCAATTTAAATAAATTGACTTATAATTATTTGATACTATAAATTGGTTAATCCAACTGACCTACTTTCTAGTGAATCAAATAATATCTCAATTTGACTCAACCCATCACAGATTAATAGATTGAGTCATCAAATTTTTTAAAAATAAAAAATTAATTACATGTCTCTATTTTAATAACTAAAATAAAGAGTTATATATATCATTTTTTTATCAATAAAATATCATTCAAAATTTTAAATGACAATTATATTAAAAAAATAAATATATACTTTTTTAATTATAAAGAGTTAAACGGTGAACCTTCCTCACTTAAACATAAACTTATTTGACTAACGGTTAAGCGAAAGAAGTTGAAATTAAACCAAAATTAATAAAGATTTGTTTTCCTAACATGGCCCCACTGAAACCAGAGCCAAGTTCATCTATCAAGTTGAACTCACTTTAACACACATACCTAAGACGACACGAGAGTATTTCAATATTTTGAAGCAAAATCTTTTTATTCTTTTCTTGACACGCAGTTTCATATATCATTCCAAAAAGAGCATATGAAACTTCCCAATACGTCTGCTTTAAGGCAAGTTTCTTTTCTTTTCAATTTTTAGTGTTTTCTCTTTTACATTAAAAATTTATGATATATGATTAATTATTGATTAATAAGTGCGCACTTCAACTGATGCAGACCCTCTTTAGTTCGACTAATAAAAAAAATGACTATCTTTAGTCCAAGAATTTAATAATGGTAGCCAATTTGATTATCTACTATTTCTTATACATGTATCCTTTTGTTTATCAAAGGGGAAGAGAGGAAGGAATTGAAAAAAAATAATATATAAATATGAAATTTTCGCTGTTTATTTTAAAAGAGAAATATGGGTTATTTAATATTTTTATGACATAAAAAAATAAAATAATAATAAATATTTTATGTTAAGAAAAATATTGGACTAAAATATTTGATTTTTTTAAGTTAAATTGTTGGTTAATTAGTATGAGAATTATTTTATATAATTTATTTATTTTCATCCAAGTAAATGAAGTTTTTTTTTTTTTTTTTCACTATTCTTTATTTTATTTCTATCCATCTAAACAGCATTTTTTCTTCTAATCTATTTCTCTTTTATTTTTATTCTTCCCATTTTTTCTATCTGATTTATTTCATCTCCAATTTCACTTCTAATAAGACACACACTTGCGGGATTCATTCAAATCAGTCTATTTTAAAGCCAACTATTCCTAATTGATTATGGTACCATATTTTCACAGCAAAGAAATATCAGTGTGCTTAATCAATTATTTGTTGATTGCTCATTATTATTTTTCAATCAACAGTCTCTTTTCTTTATTAAAACACACCAACTTGTTAAGCTTCTTTCACAACCTCTTTAATGTACATCAAGAAAGTTCCCTTTTACTAAATCCTATTATAATAGCCATGGCATCACATGTTGTAGTTTTTGTATTGTAATGGCCTACCTATAGTATTGAATCCTAAACACGTTTGGCCAACACTGATATTCCAACTATAGTACTACAAAACCACTTGACAATTGAACCTTCAATCTCTGTCTTCTTTTTCTACCTCTCCTTTTTAGTACTATCCCATGATGCTCTTCTAAACCAACACAGCAAATTCCAAAAAACTTGATACCATGTCATATGGACACAACTTCTCAACCCTCCATATATTCACACCATTATTATTAACATATCATCAACATGCTCTAAATGGAACCTTTCATCTACAACACCAAACCTCGCCCCAAAAAACTCATTCTCCTCCTCAACATAGCCTTCATTTTCCTCATTTTTCTCTTCCTCAAAGCCTATCTCCACCCTTCTCATTCCAATGTTCATGCCTCCACAAAAGCCTTCAACCATGCTAGAATGCTCAGTGACATCAGTGTTGATGGCTGCAGTGACCTTCACAAGTACTCAGATTATGACTCCAAGTGCTTGTATGTCAAATCTCATGTTCAGTGCAGGTCAAAAGGGTACATAAATTATCTCCAAATTTTCTATTGCAGCTTTGGCCATTCCCCAATTCTTGGTCATGCACTGCTTGTGCTGTGGCTTGTGGTGTTATTCTATCTTTTGGCTGACACAGCTTCAAACTACTTTTGCGCTAACCTAGAAGGTTTGTCTGATATCCTAAGACTATCCCCCACCATTGCTGGGGTAACCTTGCTTTCTCTAGGAAATGGTGCTCCTGATTTCTTTGCTAGTGTTGTTTCCTTCACAAGATCCAATGATGGTGCAGTTGGCCTCAACAGCATTCTGGGAGGGGCATTTTTTGTCTCTAGTGCTGTTTTGGGGATCATAAGTTTCCTTGTTGGTTCAAATGAAATTGCAATTGACAAGGCTAGTTTCATTAGAGATGTCATTTTCTTTCTTTTCTCTCTTTTCATTCTCCTTGTAATCATTTCCATTGGTAAAATCACCTTGTTGGGGTCAATCTTTTATGTCTCTATTTACTTCCTCTATGTATGTGCCGTCTCTGCCACACATTTCATCTATGGAGGGGATAGGGTTGAAGCAGAAATTGCCTCATCTTCTGATGACTTGGCAGAGTCTGGCATACCCTTGCTAGGCTGTGTTGATGATGAGAAAGAGAAACCAAATAAGGAGGTTATTGAAGAGAAGCAAGAGGGTTTTGGAATTGGAAATGATTCATTTGACTTTACTTACTTGAGCAAGTTTGTGAAAGTGCTGGAGTTACCTCTTTGCTTGCCAAGAAGGCTTACTATACCAGTTGTGAGTGAGGAGAGTTGGTCAAAGCCATATGCTGTTATATCTGTGACATTGGCACCAGTGTTGTTTGCAGCACTTTGCAACACCCAAATGGAAAATTCTAGTTCAAGGAGTGGTCTTGTTGCATACTTAACAGCTGCTTTGGTTGGCATTGTGTTGGGGAACATGGCATGTGTGACCACCAAGAGCACTAGTCCACCAAGAAAGTGCTTGTTTCCTTGGCTAGCTGGTGGTTTTTCCATGAGTGTGACATGGACTTACATCATTGCTGAAGAATTGGTTTCCCTTTTGGTTGCAATTGGGAATGTTATAGGGGTTAGTCCTTCAATTCTAGGACTAACTGTCCTAGCTTGGGGCAATTCTCTTGGGGATTTGATAGCCAATGGGGCAATGGCCAAGAATGGTGGGGCTGATGGGGCCCAGATAGCTGTCTCTGGCTGTTATGCTGGGCCCATGTTTAACATTTTGATGGGCTTGGGCCTGCCTCTTGTTCTCTCAGCATGGTCTGAATACCCTGAGGCTTATGTCATTCCCAAGGACCCTTCTCTATATGCAACACTTTTGTTCTTGATGGGAGGGGTGCTTTGGGCCCTTGTCATATTAGCCAAGAAGAATATGAAGCTTGATAAGTCCTTGGGAGCTGGACTCTTGACCATTTACCTCTGCTTTTTATTTATAAGGTTGGCCATGGCAATTGGTGTTATTAAATTCTAGGGAAGCACTTTCAAAGGGAAAAAGAGCCTTTCATATATTTTAGTTTTCAAGATTAGAAGACTCATGCAAAGTTAATTATGCTTTCATTGCTTTGCTATCTTGTTAATGTAAATAATTACCTTTTTAATAAGAATTTTTTTAATTGGTAGGAATTACAATAATGATAACAAGATTTGAATATAAAGCTTTATATATATTATCTCAATTTCACCATTATACCGACTCAACTGATTCTCTTAACAAGGACGTTAAAGATAAAAGATAAACTTACGAAATAGAAATTTAATTGAAAATCCAATATTACAATAAAGTGTTATTAATTGTTTTTCATATAATTTTTCTATTATTAATTTTTTAGTCAGAGTACCTTTTTCTTATTCCCAACTGTCTTATTAACTGCTATCATCATTTTGACTTCTTAATCCTAGCTATGACTTAGAATGCAACTAAAGGTGAAGAAATGATTTGCGCAAATGCTAACTTGGTTTTTGCTCTTAACTACACTCATGTTTAGTAAGGCTAAATAAACTTCAATTAGTTAATATATATAATTTCATGAGGTGGTAGTCATTGCATATATGAAAAACTTAAAGTTAATAAATAATTTTGTTTTTAAAAGTTATTCCTTGCTTTGTTTAAATTATTTAGAAGTCTTTTTTATTTTTATTATATATATATATATATATATATATAGGTAAAAATTATAATGACAAGAATCTATGACTATTCTAATTCTAATACTATTTGAGTAGTTTGACTGATGCCATGATTTATTTAATTGTTGTTTTATACATATATTTATATTTAATATAATTTTAGTTCCTATAAAATAACGTGTTCTTATTTTTGTTAAATTTTTAATGTTTTATTTCTTTTTTCTTAATTTTTCATCTTTTAAAAATCTAAAATCATTATTTTTTATCTATAACATTTATTTTATAGCAGACAAATAATATTTATTTTAAAAATTTATAATAAAAAAAAAATAGAAATGTCACATGTTGATGATATGGTATGTTGTACATGAAGTAATCACTTAATTTTTTATTATTATTATTTTGGGTATTACAAGCAAACAGTGGTTAATCTTTGTCGAGAACTAAGAATACACAAAAGTAAATATTTTCCTTCAAACAATTTATTTTATATTTAAGGATAACAAATAATTTTAAAAAAACCATATGATAGAGACTATAAAAATAGTAGTTTCAAATTTTAAAGAGATGAAAATAAAGATTTTTTTTTTGCAAAATAAAAATAAAAATTTATTCATTTTATATAAATTAAAAACATATTTAAATCATATATTTATTTATTTTTATTATTCTTGTACTTACACATTTAAATAAATAAATAAAAATTGAATGTCAAGGATATTTCCTTCATATTACAATGATTATAATTTAAGATTATTATATATCAATTAAGTACAATAACAAATATATTACCTTTTGATATAATTTTATTAAAGGAATCTTCTTTTTAATAAATATACTACTTTTGATTATGATGGTAGAATAATTTATGAAAGAATAAATTAGATAAAAAAAATAATTAATATCACATTAAAAATGAGAATATTATTTATTTTAAGACGATTTTTAAATACTAAAAATGTAATTATTATAAGTGGGATGAAATATATAATACTGGTATGTAATAAAAAAAATGCAATTTTTTTGTAAAAGTACACTCAATTATTTCTTTTATATCATTTTTACTATATTTTCTTATTATGTATCCTATTTTCCTTTCGTATATATATATTTTTTTTTGGTGAAGATTTTCCTTTCATATATACGGTCTATCACTTTCTTTATCTATTATTTTTCATCTTTAAATTTTCTTTTTCTTCTATTCATTGATTTCAATACATTAAAATGATTCATCGTGGTTTCCGTAATCTTTTTTATAAATAAAAAATTTATAAAAAAAACCCACCACAAGAAGGTTGATAGTGTGTTTGAAAATACGTTTTCATACATTTAATTACGTTCGTCCGAGATAATGTTAACGTGGTTTTCAAACGTGTATCCTCACTCTGAATGTTTAGTGGCCACCTTTTCAAACCTTTTCAATGGATTTAAGACACTCTGACATGACCTAGGCGGTAGCGGTACCTAAACCACCGTGCCCTTCGGATAAATCACATGCCTATGTTTCGAAAATGTTGTGACAATATTTGTCACAGAAAAACAAAGTTGTTTTCAACTTTTCATTGAATTTAAAAATTCAACAAAATTCAAGAAATTGAAATCAGACTTCGTCTTCTCCGAAAACTTTACAAGTTCTCATTTTCTTTCCAATAAGAAAAATTCTTTCAAACGACATGATTTCGTCGGACACATCAGCCATGATATGTGACCCATAAGTCTAATAAGGAGCATTTGCTTAAAAAAATTTCATAACATTTGAACCTTAGCCAAATAAAAATAAACACTCTAATATGTATATTATGCACAAACAGCACAAGTCATAGGAAACATTGTGTTGGAGAGGGATATATTAATATATTATAGATAATGAAAGCATACCAGTTCTTTTGATTCTGCCATCATCATCCAGTTCCACACTCGAGTCTCTTCTAGAAACACTCTTACTATCTTCAGTGTCCATCAAGGGATCCCTGCTTTTGCAAGTCACAACCTAAACATCCATCAGAGTAAAGAAAGCTGCGAAAATTTTGAGCTCTCAATTGATACAAACCTGTTTTTAACCTTCTTATCTTCTCTCTCACATTCCACTGTTTCTTATCCCTAAGGTTAAGGTTTGTGCCAACTAAGCCCTTCCCTGCGCCATTATTTTTATTCTCATTCATTTTTTTAATACATATATATATATATATATATATATATAATAAGTTTCTTTCTACAAATAAGAATGCTACGCGGCAATGTCGTACACTTCTTGTCTCGTCTCTGTTCTCTCCTAATGATTCCTCTTATCCTATACTCTGTTCCAAGTGTGACTTATTTCGCATTACAATTTATGTTTTGGCTTAATAAGAACTAAGATTCGGGGTGAGAAAGAACGATGTATATAAAAAGCAAGTAAAGCGGTTTATTTGATTTGGGCTTTCTCTTTTTTACTTTTAAAAGTAAGAATATTTTATGATGGTAGAATCATTCGTCTACCATGGTAATTCAATTAAACTCTTACTTTTGCCAAACTCAATTGATTTTTGAAAGATTAAACCTACTTGCCCATAATTTAACAGTCTCCACGAGTTTGTTTAGACTTCTCCTTTGTTAACTTCGAGTAGTATCTATTTAGATGATTTTTTTTATTTTTATCGAGAGCACTTTTAAAAAATATGTTGTAGTAAGTTATTTTTTATTTGAACTCTCTTCATTAGTATGATATTTTTTTCTAGACACGATACTTTTTTATTAATGCTAGAGAATAATTTCTCATTTTATTAAAATTTATTTTAAGGATAGATCCATTTCAAAAGATATTGTTTTATATATATAAATCTGAAAGTCAAATGTTGGATCATATACTTAAAGATATAATTTTTTATCAATCATTTCACACCATTCATACAAATGGAAAAATGGTATAATTTATATATTATAGTAGAGGTGAAGGAACATTATTATTAGGGGCTGTTTTTTTTATCTATTTACCACGTGGGTAACTTTTTTTTTTTGCAATATATGGGTCGTGTTTGTCGAACACAATTTCCACTTTTATAAATACAACTTCTACTTTGAAAAAAAAAGAAAAATAAGCCGTGTTTTAAAGTATGATTTGTTTCCTTCTAATTCTATATAAAAATACGTTTTCAACATAAAAAATAATAATAATACAAAGACAAGTGTTTAAAATTAACGACGTTTTTTTTTATTGAGAAAAATTTAACGACTTAGCCATTTAAAAAAATCTAATAAGAAAAATATGCAAAAGTCATTTTATTGAACCCAGCTTGTAAAAATAAAAAGTAATATTCGTGAAACACGACTTTAATTTTTCACAAATACAACTTCTCCATTCTGATTTTTTCTTTTAAAAAAAAAAAGTTACCTATTTGACAGGGTCAAAGACAGAAACATTATTGAGATGTTTGTGGAGCAATTTATGCGGTGTGTAGTGGTGGTGGGAATGTTTATCACGTTGATTCCTTTTGTCGTGATCATAATTAATAAGGTTGAATGAAAATGTTCAATAATCCACCCTATCAACACCGACTCTTCTTGCGCCAAACGGCCATTTTTGTTTGTCAATTGTCATACATACGACATAAGGTAACAAATAAATCCAACAATCCACCTTTCACCTTCTGTGGAATGTCGATATGTGGATGTGTTTTAAACTTTTCTATTTCTTTTACTTCATTTTACACGGTTTAACATATATTATATAGATGGTGACTAGCATCACAAATGGTAGAGTAAATGAATTAGATCTGATTTATTATTTATTTTTATTATAATAACTGAGTTGAATAGATTTATTTATATATGAATCGGATAAATGATAGATAAATAAGTTTATTTATTATCCTAATTTCATGATTATGTACTTGTAAAAATGTCTCAAGCAAGGATTTAAATAATTGTACTGTTTCACCATTCAACAGAGTTGTACAAAAAATGAATGCAAGCGTATAGGAGATAGAGGCTTGATCATAATATTTGCAATCTGAGTTGGAATTGAAGGGATTTGTTAAAAACTTTCTCACAAACAATGAAATTAAAGGTCTAGCAACCTCTATGTGTTTTGTGTGAGCATGAAGCTTAGCACATGGTTGTGAGAAAGGGCAACAATGTTGTGGTTCTCATAAAGCAGAAGTGACCTTTAACTACCGATTGTGTGAGCATCTTCTATTTGTCTTTATCGTGTTTGGCAAAAATGCTACTATTGGTTAGGTGTGCAGCTATATTTACCTACTGATTGTGATTGTACTTCCCATTTCTTTCAACTTTTGGGAATCATGAAAAATAGAAAAATGCATGAATTGAACATGATTATATGATGCATTATATTATTGTTTATTCAGTGTGGCCGTGAAGAAATTAATGCATATTTAATAATAAAACCCCTTGTGCAGAAAATATTGTAGAGAATACAATTTTTATTTCATGAAATTGGATCAATTCTAAAGTTAAAGACACAAATCTAATATTTTACCACCGATAAGTGTGGCCTATGTTATGTATGGAAGACTTGAAGTAGATTTCAAAGTATTTTTTGCTTTCTGATATCAAATTCAGATCTTATATATTGAATTTGGTAACAAATTGCGTTGATTTTTTATTGTAATCATGAACTTATATATTTGTTGTTTGGATGGAGGTCACTACTTGGGATATCTCGCCATCGATTTAGTTCTAGTAAATCTTTATCTTTTTCAAAAATAAATAAATAAAGTAGAAGTGTCTAATCAGCATCACATTAACACTGAATTTGGAGAGAAGCGTGTATGTGTAGATTGGAAATGTAAGGACATACTTTGATGTGATGAATGTTCCTTAATTTTAACTACCTTCTCGGGTGATTCAAAAGGTTCAGACACAAATCGACATACTTTGTTAACAGAGAATAACTAATTTCTGGTTAATTTTGTGACAGTTACATATAGTAAGGCGTCAACTAGCAAGTGATACAACGTAAGATCAGAAACATAATTCACATATATACCAAGTTTGCAACCACTTATCATCAAAGACGAGATACTATTTAGCATTGATCATATATATTGGATTTGGCTAGAAGATTACAAGTATATTTACTGTACAAATGTGGAGATCCATTAGGAAGTTACTTTATTTCAATGCCTAAGAAATAATCAAGGTTGTAAAGCTATTTTGGGACAAATACTGAGTTAGTTGAGTGATTAGTTGCTGAATTAAAATAAGAAATAAGTGTGAGAACAATATCATCGTTAACCAAAATAATATATATATATATATATATATATATATATATATATATTTATATAATAATATA